CCGGTATCGGCTTATAAGGCGGTATTGTCTTTACATTACCACCCTTTTTCTGTAAATCAATCGCTTGTATCATTACCTAATAAATTCTGAAAGAACGAATAATACTAGAGCGTGGAAATTACTAACCAATTTTGAATAATGATGCTGGCAGTAGCCACAATATTTCACGTTATCCAGATAGTTTCCCGCTTCTTCACAGAGTAAGCCTAGAGCCTGTGCACAAGTGACATGAAATTGCTGCCTGCAGCCCGTCTTGTTGCACTGCATGCAAGCCCCAACGTTTGCTCTGCTGCCTCTACCTTGTTCCTCGCAAATGTAGCATGTCTGAAATTATTAAACTTTCTATGTAATACGAGATTAGGCATAAGCTTGAATTGCAGTTAAATGACAGTTTGTGACGTTGATAATGCACTTACCTTGCTAAATCTTTCTGAAGGAATGAGCTGCAATATAATTGGTTCCATTGTCGTCACGTTACCGAATCGAACTTCGGGAATATATAAAGCGCACACAACATGTGCCCATCCAGCCTGGTCAGTTCTTTTAAGAGCTCCATCCCGACTCGGACATAATTCACAACGCTGTTTGAAACCAAACATATATTAATATGAATGTTTACATTCTGTCATAACAAAGAAAGAAAAGGTTACTCAATGTCTAATTTACAATCAATGAAGACTATAACATATAACATTGAGTATGAAGAAACAATTCTATATACCACACGAGCACTGCGTTCTTGTGACTCGCATTTCCTGCAATACCATGGTCCCGTTGGTACAGTGACAATGCCATAGCACGCTACAAAATATTATTCGTTACATGTCATAGAGAAAATCAACAAAGGAGAAACTTCAGTCTAAAGATTCTGTAATAAAGAGTCGCTTCATTTGGATACATACCTTGGTGCACAGCAACAGTGCATCCTTGTCCATCGCAATACACCAGCGGATTCTCAGTCCAACCCCTCTCGTCAGAACACACGCAGCACCCTCCGAGCATCTCCTTCATGCTGTGCCCCAAGCAATTCGGAAGACGAGACTAGCATGAGGAGCTAGGCGACGAACCGCAGACTTCGGCTACGTGAGGCAAATTGGCTCGCATCGTGCGCGTAGCACGACCGCATCCTGGCGACGACGCGGCGTCTGTGGCAACAACACCACTCTCGTCAATGCTTTCTCTCCCGGTGGGGTGCCACCACCGCTGTGTGAACACACAGACCTCCTGCACAACTCGGACTATGTACGGCACGATTATGACGGGCACGCGGTACGCGCGCGTCGTCACGCATGCAATACAAGAAGGAGAGAGAGAAGGAACTTCTCTCGCGAGCGCGGATCACGCTGCCGCGTCTTCGCGCCGGTAATGGGATCGTCGCCGTACGACACTTCAGACTGCCGATGCCAATTAGGCGTACGCCTCGTAAACGCACGTGCAAAGATACGGACACACTTGGAACGTGTTCGGACGGTTTGTGTTATTTACGACGGCGCTCTATTTGTTTCGTTGGTCGGCCATCTTATTTTTGGTTGTCGCGCGCGAGTTGCGCACGCGTAACGCCGCCACGCTCGGCCGTAAGGTGCATCCAGATTGTGCGAATTGTATTCTTGGAACGCCGTTGCTCATTAGCGTATCCCATTTGCGCAATTCTTGCGTAAAAACATAGATACATTGAAGCGTCTTGATCAGTGAACAATTCTTGATATCCAGAAAACAATCATTATTGTTACGCATAATCTTGTCACAATTTCTATAATAATCGTTATTAATACTGTTTATTTTCGGGTTATTTTTAAATAGACGCATCATATCTAGATATTCGTGCATCATGACTTGAAATTGTATATGACAGATACACAGAAAATTAAATAAAAAAACAAATACATTTAATATTAAATTAATAAAAATATAGTTTTAGATTTATTAATTACATAAAATAATTATGCTAAAAAATATCTTTAAATATAATGCATTCGATGTGAAAATGTTTTCAAAAATAAAAAGTATTAATGATGCCTAATATACAGAATTAAAAGCAAGTGATAAAATATTTACAAAATAATTAAAATGTTCTTTCTTTTTCTTTTTGCACAGATATCTATCGTTTTAAGATACAATACTCGTAGTTTTTTCTTATTACTTCTTTTTTCCTCCAGCATTCAATTTTAGTTCATCAAAAATTTTTAAAATTTATCGTGATTCATTGATATTTCATGTTGCAAATATAAAGTATTCTCTCTTTCCGTGACCATGATATCGATCAATGCAACAAAAAGATATAATCTTCACTGATCTCTATCTAATAACGTTATATATAGAGATCAGTATATAATCTTTTGTTATTCAGTTCACGTTGTAACCAATAGAAAGATGCAGTGCATAGGAACATTTTATATCATAATATTCGTTAAAAGATCCAAATCCAGTAAACTTGGGAAAAACCCTGAAAGTGTATCATTAAAATATGAAATCCCGCAAATCTCTTAGAGACATGAAAGAATCCCCGATAATATCCTATAAATAAACAACGAGATAACGCAATTACACAAAAGTGTTGCAGTCGAGTGACAATAGAGGTATTCTTCATCGAGACAGCTTGTGGAACGATCGATTATTATTGGCAAAGGAGCAACAGAGTTTAGTCTTCGTTGACCAACGAACTGCGTCTCGCGTTTACGACTTCTCCAAATACAAAAAAAAACTACTTCGTAAGTGAACTTGTACATCTATCTTTAAAAATCAAAATAATACAAAAAAACTAATACTTATTTAACTATAGTATTTTTAGTGTATTTTAATAAACTTATCGTATAGAAATCTTGTGATAACGCATGTAATTCAATATGATAACTAGCTTAATGCAACAGAAACTGTAAGATTTTAACTTGAGAGATAATTAGTGAGATTTTAAAAATTATTTTATAAAAGAAACTACGATACTGTTAAGCAAACAAGACTACGAATTTCTATGTCATGTAAGTTTAATTCTTTTATCTTTCTTTGAAAGGTATAACGCAATATACTATCATTTACCGATACCTCAAGCAAGAAGGCAAAAAAGACTTGTCGTTCAAAGTTTTTCTAGATAAATAAAATATCCCATATCTATAGATATAATATTTTCTTTCAAAAAAAGATACAAAGTTCTAGGAATTAGCACAGGAAAAGAAAATAATAAAATTTTCTGTACTCTGCTATTAATTACATATTGTTTCTAAGACAGCTATTCATATGCAATTTCCAAGGTATTATAAAATTTATCAGCGCAATTGATTTCCAAAAATTAGTACACAGAAAGAGAAAAACAGTAATTTTCTGTCTTCTGTTATTAATTACATGATGATATTGTTGTTGTTTCTTTTATTTATCAGCGCAGTTTATAATATTTTCGTAATGTGAATATATTTTCTACACGGAGCCGAAATCTGAGAGCTTGAATCAGATACAAATTTCGTAATTCGTTCTCTACGGATCGGTTTCTTTGATGAAGCGTAAATTTTTTATCGGTTATCGCAGTTAGCTTCGTATATCAACGATCGACGCATATGTAAAAGATATGCATTAAGATAGAATAAGAAGATTTGCATTATTGCATAAAGTACAGCGAATGCTTTTACTTTTATTTACCATCGAAGATTAGCAGAAAACGTTTCAAGAAATCTGAATAAAGATATTAATAATGCAAACCGAGAGAATTCGATTCTTTTAAATAACTTATTTGAAAGAATCCGAACAATTTAAGTAATTAACAAATTGTGTGTTTTTATATAACAAACTGTATTTAGAAAACTGTATTTCATTAAGAAACATTTTATAATTTATTCAAGGAAATTCAAATAATTCAAGCAATTAAAATTTGATGTGAAAAATACCGTATTTCCAAAAAAAATATATTTTCCTGAGAAACATTCTCTTCTCCAAAATCGATAATTTAAAAAACTGCAGATCCTATTTGTCATTAAATAGCTCAAGAATATTCAGCAACTTTTTACAAAAATTTAATAATATTTAGTACTATATAATTAATAAAAATACTTTAAATATAAACCATCTTTTTCAAAGATGTCTATTTTTAGCAAGTCTTCAATTACTGAAGAAAATCATTCACAAGTTAATTATTAGAAAGATATAATTTACATAATAATATATATACAAAGAATAACAGCACGATCACACATGATAGTACTTTGCGGCTTGCGAAAAATCAATTTTCCGAAAATAATGCGTCACTCTAAGAATTCTAATCGTTAGACGACAGAACTGGTCGAGGATTATCACGGAAATGATTCTAAATATATCCACCACGTATTTTCGCGTCTCTCGCAGCCTTGCTCAACCACGTGAATTACTACACACATATAATACACGCTTGTAAAGCTTTGCTTCGCAATTCGCTTCGTACTCTCGTCACGCACGCAACATTATGTCCAGAACAGTCATTTTGCCGTTCATTTGTTGTTAATGTAAAAAATTTTATGAAAAAAAATGTAATAATATGAGATATATAACAGTTCTTTTTCTTTAAATACTTAATTAAATTTAATCAAGATATTCTACTAATCATGTTGGTGAAAACATGTAAAAAGACATGTAAAATACCTTTACAAATGCTTTATTTTTTGAGTTTTGTTATCTTTGAATTGTAAAATCTAAATATGTATTTTTTTTTTAAATCTTCACATATGTCGTCTACAAGATCTTTGGTAAATGGTTTATAAAAACTGCTTAACATAATTTTAAAAAATAGATATATAAAGTTAGAGACAAGAATAAAATAAAAAGGCTGATTAAACTATCATTCAAAAAATGAATCAAAATCTTGTCATTATACTCAACTTTAAATAATGTTTATATGCTTTTTAACAATGTGCAATTTTAACGTCACTGCGAAGAAAGTTTGCAGAAGGATTATAATTTCTCATCATTATTATTCATAGCAACATGTTAGCAAAAAAAAAAATTTTTAGATGCATCTTGTGTAATATTATATTATTAAAATATAATTATGCAAATATATGGAGTATAAATATAAGCATTTTTTGACCTCTTGCTTGTACTTTGTTCATATACGTCACTCGCATAAGCTGCTACGTGGAACATTCCAATTGAGTTCACGATACAGTGCCTAGTCATTTTTAAGAGCCTACATCTACATCATTGGAAGAAAATTAGATAATTCTTTTAACGAAAAAAAATTAACGTATAGTGTTGCGATGCAGTAAGCGAATATACATATTCATTAAACAAGAGTCAACGTTCGCGAATATATGCAATAATCGTTAAATATGTTGCTACAAAAGTTGCTACATAAACACGTATGTAAATTGAAAGGTCGCGATATAGCGACCTTTTAAAGAGCGAATGTGTGTGCAGCATATTGTATTTGTGTGTATATCGCGTGCTATCAGTGTATGCATGATATAATATCAATTATCAAGGCTGTACTTATAAATGCATTCAAGAGGCACCACAGATCTTGAAATTCTCGATGGATAACATTATTAGAGAAGATTATATGAAATTTCACAATCTTACCCATTCAAATAAAACATGTATATTAAAAATATATTAAGAAAAAATTGTGTATGCCGAAAATGGAAGGAAAGGAAAAAGAAATTGATTTTTCTGAATCCTGTCATTAATAACATAATTAATAGTTCTATAAATTTGAAGGCGCAAAAGTATTATCACACTCACAGATGTTCTATATATAGTATCTATGTATATATAACATTTGTTTTACTATGTACAGCTTTTAAAATATTTATAATATAGAAAATTAATTACTTATTTATGCAATGTTTTATATTACTTGTTGCATAACTATTTAAGAATGTCTCATTACACGTTCAACAGGCATATTTTTACGTCCGATGTTGTGAGTAATCTAGAAAATATTATCTAGGGTCCCAAAACAGGTAAGTACAGTCTTGCGATAATAGACTGGATCCAACGAGCACTTATCAATAAATACTCACAGTGTACGAGAGACAGTCACCGAGTTAAGATCACTTCGTAAACATGAGGTAATGTTTAAAATACTTTACAAAATCATTTCAAATCAATAATTAGAGTTTTATCTCAGATAATTAACTAAAACAATGATACAATAAAAAAATGTAACCGTATTTTTAAATAAAAAAATACATAGGCTCCTATTAATAAAACGATTACACACAACAACAAGGATGTTAATGTGAGATGTAACATCTCACATGATGTGCCCACAGTCTCACAATTTTTCACTTCAATCGCAGTTTGTATTTTGGATAATTATTGAGTTTGACGGAATGTACTAAAGAGGGACAAGTTGAGATTGAAGTATTTATGTATCATGTGTTAATAAAAAAGAATTGTTAAAAGTGATAAACATCTGGCGTTGGCTTTGTATCCTCGTTATCCTTGTTATAAATGTAATGTATAAATGTATTTTTAAATATTTTCAGATAAAATTATTTTCTAATGCTAATTTATCGATAATATTTTCTTAAATGTAGTTTTAAAAATTATTCCTCATAATATAGACTACAGATTGTACAACAATGTCGCAATATATTTTTACCGAAATACTTGGGTTTTGTAATTTTTCACGAAAACATGTTTATGTCACTGTTACGATAACAGCAATTATAATATCTATTCATATATTTGAAACACAGAATTTCATTTAATGAATATGCATGCTTACTGCTTAATAATACAGACATATTTTTGTTATGTTATTTTACTCCTCGAAAATACAGACAAAAATTAAATTATATAGACTGAAATAATAATATCAAACTTTGAAAATCGACAACTTGCATTTTAGCGAATTTCGAATTTCGATCTTCGAAACAAAATTATGATAGTTTTACTAATTAAGATCTTACTTGGGTTCCAGCAAAACACGCAAAAGAATGCCATCTTACCGGCCTTGGGGCTCGACGGAGGATGGTCGGATAGAATTCGAATCCTTAACGGATGAGACTCTGGAAGGCGCTCTCGATGTAATCAGGAAGGGCTTCTTCCCCCACGAGTCCATATGCACAGGCGTGAATTTGACTTCTGAACCTGGAGCGTCCGAGGAACTCGAAGAACTTTGCTTGAACGCGACTAGGGACGGTGTCAGTGTGGTGGCCATCGATGTCCACAGCAACGAGGTCGTCGGTGTCTGTTTTAATAAAATTCAAGTGAGTAAAACATCTGCATATCTTTAGACTATTTTTAAATAATATATTTATTCAAAACTAAATTTCTAAGTAAATGTCGACGTTATTATCGAGTGACTTTCGTGCCGTCAGATTTTTGCATTGTTGAACTTTGGATGTATATTTCTAAATTAATATATTTTATCGACGGTCGAGTGATTTTCAATCATTTCAACTTTTCAGATATTGAGTGCTGGCTCGGAAAAGAGCTACTTTGAATCCTTCCGCGACAACTGTCGGTATAAGTCGTCGAAGCACTTAGTGGATTTCATGATAAACATAGATTCAAGGATCAATCTCTTCAAGCATTACAACGTCAACTGCATCCTCGAGCTCATGTTTCTCGCAACTCTACCCGACTATAGAGGTCGACGAATAGGCGAGTTGCTAATCACCTCGTCGTTGGAGCTCGGCAAAGAGCTGAGACGCGACAAGAAAGTGAAGACACCCGTCACGATACACTGTAGCAATGAGCTGACGAACGCCGACACGGTGCCGGTCTTGGCCTCAGCTATTATGACATCCAGTTATTCGCAGCGCATTGCCATGAAACTTCACTTCGACCAGCTGTTGGAAGTTTCCTACGACGAGTTCGAGTTCGACGGAAAAAAATTTAGCGAAACAATCAGCCGGGAACACCAACGGTGCACCTTGGTGGCCAAGAGACTCGCTCTGACGTAAATGACAATTGTGCGAATAGCAATCGTAGTACTTTTTGAATAGAAAATGGAGGTAAAACAATACTTTTAACAAGTCAATATCATTATAAGATTGCAAAATACCTTAAAGCGTCAATAGACTTAAATCCGAATATTCCGTCCAAATAATCTTCCTTTTGAAACAAGATGCTAAAGACAAAGAATATTGGAGCGTAAGCAATCAATATTTCAAGCTAATCAATATTTCAATTATTATTTGATCAAATGTTTCCTACTATCATAATATACATACGCTAAGAAAATTCTTTATTATTCCTATATTATCTTACGTCATATCAATTTAGGTAAATAAAATAACTAGTGTCATTAATTTTTTTATCAATGGATATCTTTTCTAAAGTTTTAAAATAAAAAAAGTAATATATAAATTAGATATAAAGGCGCTTTTATATGAGGTTCAAGTGAGTTTAAATAATTTATCTAATAGTTTTGTTGTTTTATTTTAAAATGCTAATATCTTATTACGTGTTATTTTGCACGTATAACTGCACATGCAATTTAAAAAAAACAAAATTTTTTATTTATGTGCACAAACTAGAAATAATTTTATCAACTAGAAATAAAATTTTTATGCGATTAATATATTGCTTCATAACGATGCGCGCATGCAAATTTGTGACGGAAGGACAGATTGATAGCGCATTGATATTGTTAGAATAATGTAGCTATTGATAATAACGATAATACCGGAAAATATAGGATAACGCTCAAGAAACATGACATCACCCACACACGAAGAATATAGTCAAATATGAATAGAAACATGTCTAACTCACGGGTTCATTATTAGCATGCAACAATAATGGCCATGAAATCGCGTCCTATAAAATTATATAATCTGTTACAGAAGCTATTTTATTATAATTCGCTAAAATCGTGCAGCATCAGAATTATAAATTTGCAATACTACGAGTGCAATACCTGCGAGTAGTGCGTCATGAAATGACGTTGTAGCAATTGTTGTTTATTCAAATATTTGTTTATGCTGTTCAATAAAAAGTTAGAACTATTCTTCCAACAAATAAATACAATGTATAATAATTTCTATATATCATGCTTCCTCTTTAACTAGATAATTAATAAATTAAATATTAGACAAGTCGATTCATTTATAATTACTTGCACAATTAATATAATATTGTGTCAATATTTATAACGACTTAAACGGTGTTATATCATTTTACTTTATTCTAATTACATATCACATCACTCATTTCCGTCTTTACGAAAAACTCGCGAGATCTACTGGCGATAACGATGAAACCAAGGCGATTTCCTCGATAGTTGCGCATATGTGTGTGTTATCAAATGACGTTATGATAGTGCCCGTAATCAAGCAAAATGTGTATAATGGGGATGTAATTTTTATTGCAATCCTGACAACTCCGCACGCATATAGATAGCATGTGTCTGCATCCTACCGACAGAAAACAGGTCGCGAATCAACTCGGTAAGATCGCAGTATTCTTCGTTCGTTTTTCATGTTTTAAAGTGAAATTTTATCTTCGTTTTTTCGCGCTCCGACTATAATACAAAACTATAATCAAAAACTATTTTCTGCAGATTATCAATGTAGATATATAAAAAAAGAACTTGTATACGCTTGAAATTTTAGATACATGTGTGCTTCGTGAACGCACAAGTTTGTGTTGGCATTTGAAGTATTGCACAAAATAATTCGTGAAATATTAATTGCTAAATATTTTTGTGTGTTAAATATTTGTTCCAAATAATACTTTAACTACAAACTTGCAATACATATTTTTAGCCGACAATCACCAGTTTCGAGATATGCGTAATAGCTGTTAGAAAAATTTACGCGCAATAAAATTTATCAACCCAGACTGCGCTTGCTGTTAAATTCAATATGGGAGGCAATCTTCGAAAAACCGGAACGGGATGCGCAAGACAAGTGTAAACTCGGCCGTGTATCGATCAGCTATAGCAATACCATAGCGTTTCTTCCAGACGACAGGACAACACTATGTCTGTTTGTCTCGGCACCAATCGCACGGGTACCATCGAATTTAGTATCCTCGGCAAGGACAGGATTGAGGAAGCCCTGGATGTGCAGCGGCAATCAATGCGCCAGGAGTGCATCGCGATCGGTATGGGTATGTTCGAGGATCCCGGTGCACCCGAAGAAATGCAGTTGGTCTTCAGGGAAGTCATTAAAGACGGATGCACGGTGATTGCGGTTGATCGATCGGACCGCGTTGTCGCTGTGGCATTCAACAAGTTACACGCAAGTACAATGTTTTTACACCGGAAATTCGGTGTCCGACTAGTGTTAATTAGTGTCGCGCACATTTCGATGTTATCAAAAAATCAATGCTTCGCTTTCGATTGTATTTCCGACATTTCAAACATCATATCTATATCGTTGACTGATAAATTGTATGATGCGCAATAACTTGTCGAGTTTAATTAAATTAGAGAGAATTATTTTTTAACATTTTTTTAGTTGTAAATAATTGCATTATTTTTAATCACTTTTTTGTTAATTGCGTGTTTCATCATTTGATATACGCGGAATATTAAAGATCATTGCCAGAATAAAAAAAATGATTTGTTATTAATAATATTTGCACGCAATATTTATATTTTCAGGACTCTCATAAGCCAAAAGAAACGGATTCCTTGGCACTTTTTATAGAAAATAACATCAAACACCGCTCCTGCCGAGATCTGATTGATTTCCTTGACGAAGTGAGTTCGTTAGTTATATCATCATTCTATACATGCTGCAATCAACAGTGTCAATACGAGCGCTCTAGTTTCTTTCAAGATTTTAAAATTCTTTCGCAAATAACGATGGGCTTTGTAGCTGTCGCAATTTCATACGCGTACTATTAATTAATCTTCGCATATTTCTTCGTTTACTAAACTTTGCTTATGTCACATAAATTATTTTCCTGCACCAAGTGATTTTATCTTATCACATTATCAATTATATTTATTTGAGCATCTTTTAAGATTTACACAAAATTCTGAGAAGAAATATCCTTCTTTCTTAAGATAACAAATTTCTATGAGGAAAATTATGGATAAGATAGGAATTCTATGATAAAAAAACGCTAAATGACAAAACATAATTTCTTAAAATAAAATTTTAAGATCGAATAGAAATGTTTCGAGTGCATAATTACATAAAAAGTTTATTGATTAATTATAAATTAATTAAATAAATTATTCTGTTAAATAATAATTTGTAATCTAATTTTAAAAAACAAATTTGTCGTTCGTCAAGAGCACTGAATTTTACATTTTTGTTTTTAGATGGAATCGAGAGTGGACATTTTCCAAAAGTACAATGCGCAAGCTGCCATGGAGATTTTCTACATAGGCACGCATCCGCGATGTCAGAGTCGCGGAATCGGCTTAGAAATCACGGAAAAGAGCCTCGAAGTTGCACGTGAATTACACGCAAGGAAGTTAAAGCAGATTTGTATCGCTGACGAAATTGTCAACGAACATGTGCGGCCAGAAGTGGCTTTCGCTGTCGCCGCGTCGGTTTATAGTCAACGAATCATGGAAAAACTAGATTTCGAGATTCTTGCAGAGACGCGATACGAAGACTATATACGCGGTGGCAAAAAAATGTCGGAAAGGATAAATCAAATGCATAAGACGGTCAGATTTGTCGCTCGCACGCTTTGGTGATTTCTATTTGGATTTTACGTAGATGAAACTGTTGAATTTTATATCAAAATTAAAAATTAAGTTTCCAACATTTGCTCTGAGGAAAAAACAGTATTTCAAGTAATAGTATTATGTGCCATAATAATAATTTACGGCATAGTAATATAATATATAATACTATCATAGTAAAAAAGAAAATTAATAATGTTAAATTATAAAATATTTATATTTATGCAAAAGAATAAAAAACTAAAACCACTAGTTGGTTTACACTGCCTTTTAAATTGTTAAAAAATGTTTAAAATTATATTTTATCGTTATCAATTGGTTCTAATTATAATTTCGAGAATATCGTCTATTCTTTGACAGATTAACTGTGAATTATAATACAGACAGAAAACAATTTATAATGAACCAAATTATTTATTATTAGCTGACGCAATAAAGATAATTGTAGCCGAGAAATTTTTTGGAAAGGGAAAATGATGTAACAATATTTTTTTTATATAAGTATATATGTATAGTAATACATTTAATTACGATAATCATGAAACGCTTACGACGATGATGCGTGGGGATAGCATCAAAATTTAGAGCGAAGCTGCGTTTTCATTTCATATCATTTTTCGTGAACTTATGCAATTTTAACTAACTCCAAGCGAAATATTGAACGACAAATAATGTATATTATTCTTAATAATGCACAACATCTCGATTTGATTCGTATTAATTATCGCAATTACGCCGAAAGATACTTCAATAAAGCCACAAAAGACGGTACGAGTAATGTTGCTTCTGCAGCTTCGCGAATATTGATGTTTATGACAGACGACGACGGAATCATTGTATGAGGATGATAAATCTATTGCTTATAATATTCACACATCTCCGTATATTCGAGAAGCTACTAATAACTACTATCAATATGAATATCGCGCGTATTTGTTCTTCAAAGACGCCACGATTGGAACTTTGCGCGATGCGTTATCGGGAAGACACCCAGTGTATAACATTTAGTAAAATCGTTAAAGCGTCGAGATCTGAAGAAAATGCAATACGAGACGCGGTCGCCCGCACTCATTCTGACATTATCGGCGAAAACTTTATATTTCTTAATTTATTTAATATGGCGCTTGGCACATAACATTTATACATGATTATATAAATGTTAATCCTCTTACGAAAATCCTCGTTTATACAAATACAAGTTATAAAAAAAAAATGCTACGCATTTAGCAAAACGCTACGGCACAAATCTTATAAAAATTATATATTCTGTCTATCTCACTGCCATTATTAGCAAACATTTAACCACAAACATTTGTATTGTAAATATTCCAATCTTTTTCTGGAAAGTAGAACGCACATTTCGTTCTATCTTTTTCGTATAAAAAAAATTAAAAATATAATACGAGAATTTTCGTAGCTTATAAAAAATTGGATAAAAACCAGCCAGATGTGCTATAATTTAAGCGTAAAATTCAAGCACGCATTATCTGGTGATAATGTATTGTACAAAATAAATTACAACCATTTCGGTTCCAATTCCTTACATCTAGCCAGTTTCACCTAATATTTTGAGAACAGCAGTTAATGCAAACAAGAGCAAAAACTGATGAGACAGATTTGCATACATCACAATAAAATACCTAAAAATGGAAAGTAATATTTATTGCAAAACCGGTTGAGCGTATTTTCAATTTCATTTATGCAAAATCTTTTGACGAAGTTAATATAACTCAGTTATTGTAGTTCAATGTTTAAGTATTTTGAGAGTCAAATATGCAACTGATTAAATTCCAATCTTATTATCGGAATTAAATGAAAACAAACAAGGCGAGTCTAGCAATTTTTCAAATTGCATTTTCAATTCCTTCATCTGAACTCTTGGCTATATGTATATACGATACATTAACTGTGCACAGCGCGTATATTGGCACCTATAAATGAATTATCATACTTCTATATACTACACTCCACATATCCGTATCTCAGAATTAACAAATATATATATGTCAAAAGTATATGCAGGAAAAACTTGTCCTTGTACACGTTTAAAATTGAGGATTCTAGTGCTCCAAGGAATCAAGTCCAAATTTTACGAAAATCACATTTTTCTTTTTCATTGTAGAAAAAGCATAACTACACGAGAACAAACTAAGAATTAGATTCAATATTAGATGTGTTGTGTCGCTTTAGTTAAAAATTAAAATATAATTAATAGATTACTCATGTGTGTTATCTTTATTGCTAAAAAAGAATTTGAAAATCGGTTGTCTTTCGTAAAAAAACTTCGTAAAACTTGTTCTTTTTCCCTGCGCCAAATCCTTTAAGTACTTTAATAATATATATATGTGATAAACAGCACAAGAGTATATTCAACTTCATTACGAAGACTACTACTACAACATTCAGCGGTAGACAATTTATTGGCGAAGTTACTGACTGCAACAACGAGAGTGGCGTACTAATTTTATTATCGTTGCACTCAGCCGTTAATTAGTTACTTTCCCTTAAAACGCCTCGCTATCACTGTTATTGTAAAAAATGTGGACGTATAGCTGTTTTCTTTCCAATATAGAATACGATATTGACACACTTCCAACAAAGTTAATAATTCCCTCTGACTTATGATCTAATTAAGTTACAGCCTGAATTCGGTGTCAACGAACTATACCGCGCATCGATCTGACACATTACATAAACAACGACATTACGTATTATTACTATTATTATCATTGTTATTATTATTATTTCGAAATAGTAACGCGACCACTATGCAAATGCGTGAATACTTAGCTTAAACCGAGCCGCTTGAGACTCGTGAGTTTTGGCACTAATAATCTTTTTCGTTCATTCTGAGATTACTCTGAGCCATTTTTGAACTTTTGATTTCTTTTTGTTCTGTTAGAGAAGTTTGATTTTTTTTTGTATTTTTTATTCTCCGGGAAGAAGAAGGAGTATACAAAGTCGGGGTAAAGAGTCGATAGTGAAAAATAAATAAAAACAATAAATTTTATAAATTTTATAAATAATACGTGAAACTTCAACAAATATAAAACCTCACAACGACAAAAGTAACATGTAAAAAATTCGTAATATAAACATATAATCACATAATTTTAATTATACTTATTATGTACGTAAAAATATGTAGCTATAAAAAAATTATTCTTTGTAAGATGGGCGAAGAAATATATCAAGAAACTTAATTGGCACTCAGATCAGCGAGAGGAAGATACGTCTTGACGGGACTTTTTGCTAACAGCGCGTGAATGGGCTAGTTAATTATTCCAAAACTTTCATCCGCCCGCGATGGAATTTTATACGTTAGCAAGACAAACGTTGTTAACCGCGCACGACCAGGACACTAGTTTGAAACAATTTGTGCGCTGAAGTTACTTGATAGAGTAACGTCTATCGTTAATGGAACGTCGTGTAGAGAGATATCACACACATATACACGCACGCGTGCGCACGTATCTCAGTCACTCGCTTATTACTTTAATATTTCCAACGTGGAAACTGCAAACTGGTAGCAAGTATAATACTGTACTCTCACAAGTTTTTATCTTTGACAAAGTATGCTACTATTGTAATTTGCGCGCACAGGACTGTAACAATGGTTAGAGCCTGACTCGAAACAATTATGAATCGAAACTAAGCTCTCGCGCGCGCGCGCGCGATTCAACTTCCGACAATTTTACTTCATTAAACGAGTCTCCGTTTTCATTCTCACATATTCGCATATTGTGACTATTTGGCAAAATTGCGGTAATAATATTTAATGAACTCCTATGAATCATTTAATAACATGTCAATAACAATTAACTACTTGATTGGCCGACCAAAAATGTCCATTCAAATTTAATTAACTTCGATTAAATTGCAATAGCAGCTTTATATATCTATTCATTATTTTATAATGAGATCTCTATTTTTCAACGTTTTTTCCCCAAGTGTTACTTATTTCTAAAAAAATAAACGTACATGTTTCAAGAATTATGACAACTCTCGTGATGATAAGTTTATAACAATTTTAATCGAGTGATTACACATATATATATAACATCTATTAATTAATACTTTCAAAAATGATCACATAAATATATCTCACTTCCAATTTTTATTTTCCATGTAATAGATTTTGGAAATTAAGTCAGAATAAAATCTCCTTAGCTCGAAAGCTCCTGTGCGCGCAGATCTGCAGCTAAAAAAGTACTTTCCGCGCATTTTTACTCTTCTACCCAGTTTTTAACACGTGAGATTTGAACTTCTTCGAAAATATATAAAACATCTCGTTATCAAAATAAAATATAAATTGGCTATAACGTTTTCGCGTACATGATGACGCGCGGACGTTCATATTTGGCAAATATGTAGGAAAAATTGATCGCTTTCTCCTTTCTTCCCCACGCACTATTTCACGCTTTTTCTTCTCGTAGAAGGGGTTACCGATATATTGGCACTCATTTTCTTATCACAAATGCGCGCGCGCGCCGCAAATTCGTTTCTCCGTGTTTGGAAAAAAGAATTTTACAGGCAAGCGTGCATAAATTGCATTTAACGCAATAATGCCGTGCGGAAACTTTTGACCGACTTTTTACCAATATCAGTTAATTCTAATTTTAACTCAATTCTTGAATTAATTAATCCCAATCAAATAATAGTAACAATTAATCTATACATCAAGATTAAATATTATTTAATTAACTAAAAAATATAATAAAAAATTGTCCTAAAAAAATTAATTTTGCTGATAAAAGAATTAACTAAATTTTTTACATTTTTCTAATCATATTTCTGAAAAAAAAAATCAAATCGGGATTAACTGATATTGGTAAAAAGTCAATTATCTGTCAACATATATGCAAATTTGCATGTCAATCGATAAAACGTACGTACGGTCGAATCGAGAATCTTGTTTTACCTTGGTGACCTCGCGATCAAAGGAAGAACATTGGTGTAGTCTGGGAACAATCAACAAAATATATCTGTCAAGTGTACAACAATAACATTATTCTGGCTCGGTAAAATCTGTCTTATTACGTCATTCGTTCCGATTGATTCGATGAAAACCAACAATACATTCGTCGCTTCGATCGAATCGATCAGAATTAATTTCCATTTGGATCACCGCGTGTGGTATGCACTTTGTCGCAAGGTCAAGCTAGATGCTACAAAGAAATTCATCTGTGGCAGGCCTCGTGAGGCTGGATATCTGGTGGCTGAATGATCTGGTAAGGAAGTTGAGTGTCCCTGAAGTGCGATCTGACAAGTAGACCCAGACCAAGCAGTACAACGGGAAGACCAAGTAAGGCGCAGATCAACTCGCCCGTCACTCCTGGCGACCAGGAGATGAAACCTGTTTCAATGTTTCCTTTAGAAATAGCTTGTAATTATGGTTAGATTTATTAGCCGTTAAATTATAGTAAAATCTGAGAAGTTGGCATGCGCGATTGTCGTGCTAAGAAATTCATAACTATAAATGAGTTTATAATAAAATAAAATATTCTGCCTTGAAATTAAAGATTCAGATGTTACAAATCCCTAAATAATTATAAGCGGATAATTTTGTAACTTGTACGATATCTAGACATAATATCAATCAAATTAAAGAACTTACATGAAACATTTAATTTAAGAAGTTAGAAATTTATAAATTTAAAAAATATATTTTCGTCAATCCTGCCCAAAATTCTCTATATTTACAAAATCATCCATCTGTCTTTAGCATTTACATTAAAATTTAACAAAACAAGTTTCTGTAGATCGAAACAATTATGACAACACCTCATGCACTAAATATTTACCCCCGTGTAAACCGATGTCCATTCTGTAAATACTCCACCAAATACCAGACAGTGGAAGAGAGACAGTCGCAGTGGCCACACTGAACACCGCGCTTTCGCACAACGACAGAAAGTTGAGAATTGAGATCGAGAAGACGACGTAAGCGAATAGAAAAATCCATCCGTGGCTGGACACGTTCGAGCATAGTTTACCGCCTTTAAAGTGGCACATCAGTCCATGCTCGACGGTACGATACAATTCTACAGGCGACAAACCCTAGAACGACATTTAAAAAACCATTATCTTTCGATGAAGTAAAGAATCCGGCAGACTAAAGTTCTTTAAAAATTACTGCAAATTCACTATAGAACAAAAAACCGATATCGATTTGTTACAGGTGTTCTTAAAATGTTTCACAATTAGCATGACATTACTATACAATAACAAAACGGATTTTTTGCGCTCGACTTTCCATAATTGAGACAATTTTAGCGACATACAAAATTCAAGACTTAATTCTCAGTCGAGTCTGTAACACAATCTTAATTTGTAAGAGTCAATTTCTATCTATAAAATTGTTTTTAAACTTAAAATGTCACAAATTAAAAATTTCTGTCACAAAGGCCTTTAAAACTAAGGAAAGTTTGATTTATCATTGACGATCAAATGTGTTTTTGTTTTACGTCACTCACCCTGCCGATGCCCGGCAATGTGTCGAGCCAGCAAAGCGTCAGGATGGCAAAGAATGCAATGACGTGTATGTAAAAGAGGGTTTGCATCACCGGCGGCTTAGGGTAGCTTTTCGGCTTTATCGTGGGATCCGGATCAGTCACGTGCAGCAACCGACCGCCTTCTTCTTCGGAGCCACGACGACGAATATCGCGAGAAGACACCAAACGCGACACCGTGTAGAGGAAAGAATTGTGTTGCGTCGTCAACATCTGGCACACATTTTGCTGCTGAAAGCGAGAGATCGCAGACGTCACTCGCTTCAATAAATGTTAGTCGTTCGGAAAATGGATACGAAAATCCACATCGATCGAAAAACAAATCCGTCAAATAAAACAATAATCCGTCCAATTTTAAAAAAGAAAAAAAGAGAGAATTTTCTATATCGTTTATTGCAGAAAAAATATATGATAATCGACAATTTTTTTACGAAACATAAATAACGAATAAATCTTTTACTAAAACATATCCTTCATTTTTTAAATTAATTTAAATTCTAGTTTTCATTAATTAGAATCAAAATTACAAATTTTTGCGCGACAAGTTTTAATAAAAATTTCGTGAATGCATGTATAAAAATTCCACGGATATTGCAAACGGATTTCAATTTGTGAAAATATCGATGGTAAAATTACCCCGGTAGTGTAATGCCGTTCGAGCATAGTGAAGAACATGGCGAAGGCGGCGAGAGCGCCCACGTAAACGAAAGTCCAAATTGCCCGGACACCCCAGGTTCCCCTCATAGCTGCTGTTGTATGCGAGGAAACCTCTCTTCCCCGACAACGGAACTCGTCGCAGAGACCATAATCAACGCTTATGAACAAACCCACTATTATAGTCGTGCTTGAGAATATTCGCTGCAGACTCATCACTGAAAACATTCAAGGGACTACGCTCGATCGTTTCTTACAATGTAATGAAACTTTTATGACTACTACACGAGCGTACAAATATTTTGTTTGTTATAATAACTATTTGAAGCTTACAAAACTACACGCAACATTTAACACTTAACTGTAATATTTAACTCACTTTTTCGACAAAAGAAGAAGTAGTAGACGAGAGAGAAGACGAGAACGACACCTTTTATCGGATCCTGTAAGTGACATAGTACTCTGTTCCGATCGAGGGACAGAGTAATCAGGACTCCTGAGAGGGCGTAGAGAGTGCTTATTTTGATCAAACCGCAGCGGGGTATCCTTACTCGCATGCTGTTCGGTATTAGTGGTGGTGGCGGCGACACTCTATCCGCAACGAAGTACATTATCCCCAAAATGCAGGCGGAGCATAAAGCAGTGAAAAGGAGTCCTGCGAGATTTGCGAAAACATACGAACCGTTGAAAGGCATCATAAATCATTACGAGTTAAAAGCAGAAAAAACGCGAAACGGTATTTTTCTTATGAAGTTAATTTGATCACGAGTATTAATAAAGTTTACCATCTAATTTTGATAATTTAGTATTAAAAAATTTTATTTTAGTTAAATAAAATCCGATAGGACTTATCCGAATAAGAATAATTCGAATGAATAATGCGAGGCTAGAATATTTTTGTGTTTTAGTCGATATAAAAAAATAATTGATTGCTAGCAAATTTAAATACTAAAAATAAAAAATATTGAGTCCAGAAAAGAGCAAGCAAAGTAATCGTTTTAAATATTTTGCTTCACAGCTTTCGTTATACATATTGAATATTTCACCTCGCAGTTTTTGGTGTGTGTGTATATATAATCGCGCGGTTTAAATATTGAGCTTGGGTTATTACAGAGCCGAGTGTTTCGCATAACTCAGTTGCTTTTTTTACGCGAGATATTACAGCGCAAACTATAATTTTGGAAGTGACGAGTGCGAGAGCTCTATGATATATAAGTATATCATAGCATATGGCAAACGCTCATGGATATAAATAAATTGTTTGCAGTAATCGCGATCCTGCGATTGATGCTCGAGATTCCTAATCTCAAAATCCCGAAATCATGGGAAACATCAGGTCGAATTCGAGCGCGCATTATACATTAATTTGGATACTGCGCTCGCACGCGCTGCCTTCACTGATACTCACTATTACCTGTGCCGAATAAATTGTATATGCATATGTGTGTGCGCGTGTATGCCTGTGTTTCTACCTGTGTAAGCACTGGAAACAGCACTGACGCTCTCGAGATAAAGCGGATAGCTGATAACGAGAACGGTAACTGATACCGCGACGGACACGAGGGTAGCCAGGAAACGGAGCTTCTGCCAGTTCTCGCGATCGGTATCGAACAGCTTATCGCTGCTGGCCTGATAAGCGACATATGGCGATTCCTCGGTGTCGGTGTACTCCTCGATCTCGACGTCGCTGCCGGTGCAGCGGAGCTCCTCCTGCTCGTCGTCGTCCATCATCGTCGACATGCAACTCGATAGGCTCGCCAGCTTGGCGGCTTTTTCGTTGCTCTATCAAAACAAGAATGCCTTGGCTCTTTATTTTACACGACAGTACATTTACAATGCGCATAAATTTGTCGCAAAAAATATGCCAAGTCTCATCAGATTAAACAGCCTCATTTGTTTCATTTTGTGTAACTTAAATGATTTCGGTTTCTCATCTATTATCTATTTATACCATCGCGTGGATATAAAATTAGCTACTGCTATAAATGTAACGTTATTTTATCGATAAATAGTAAAATAACTCGTAAATTTTGTGATATTATAATCTACATTGAATTAAATTCATTTAACAATGTAAAGAAATAATCACACAGATTATATTTTCTTATATGTCAAATAAATTCCATAAATTCAATCATTGTGCAAATATCTAGTGTCATAAATTAAAAATTAGACAATTACATTAGTCTGATTGCATTCATAATATATGAATATGAAACCTAGCCTTACTAATAGTTTGGGATATGTGGAATTGAAAATGGATGATGTATAACACATAGGTACTAAGAGCATTAATTCTCACGGCTACGACGAAAAGCGCTCAATTGTGCTCGAAGTGAAATGGAAGCAAGCATTCTTAAGCGTACGCAACTAAAGAAAATGTTTAAAATATATGAATAATTTATCTTCTGTTTCAATCTAACAATATTTTAAAAATTACTAGAATAACAATTATCAATTTCGATAACAAATAGTTATTACAGCAACAAAAAATATTTCCAATATTGATTACATATGTACATACATCTTATTTAAAAAAAATTTTTTTTAAATGAAAAATATACTTGCGCTTGCTAAAATAAATTTCTAGCTACGATCCTGTATCACAGCATTCTGCGAACCTCGCCCTTATCACGGGCAACAATCGGTCTCGACGTGCCAATGCGTCTACGAGTACAATGAATGAAATTGCAAGTTAATCATTACTGCGTTTAAGCAAATCATGCGATTAAATGAGTGAGTGAAAAGAAAAATCTTTTCCTCCTGCGCCTCTTAAGGCTTGTTTTCTTATATATGTTCTATTCACTTGCAAATAATCAAAGCAAGTTCGAGTCTAACGATTGACAACCACAACAATTTATGCATTATAAAAGAAAAAACTTCTTCTGCACTTAAAAAGACACAACTACAATGTTTTGAAAATAAAAGATAAGAAAAGCGAGAAAGGTACAAATCGCGTTAAGAAAAACGGAACGTAAACAAAGCAGTCTGTAATCAAAAAAGCTATAGAACCATTTCTATCAAGACTGCTTAATGTCAATTAGCGTTAATCGAGTTATCCCTCATTATTTATATCGTGATCACTATTGATTAGGAAGAAACAAAAAATCAATTAGACAACAGAGTTGATCTTTGTTGGAATCGACGCTTTTATACGTCGTGTGGTGTGTATTGGCGGACTCACCCTTGATAGAAACCTAACCTGCCACCGCCCACCGCCAGAGAAAGCGTCTATCCCGGATGTCCCAGATCGTCGTGTTCCTTTCACAAAAACGTTTGCGACGGTCAAGTTAAAGCCGATGATAATGACGATAAGCGGCACAGGTTAATCGCGAATGTTGCGTCACGCGATAAGACAAGCCAACAGAAACCACGACTTCATCCCATCGTGGGATGACGAGGAGAGCGCCTCTTCGTGTTGCGGCCTCCGCTGCCGTCACCGCCGCCGCCGACGCCGCCAAGCTGTCGCCAGGACTGTATGCGACGGCGGAAACGGCGACACAACAAGTGGGCCCCGGAAAATCTATCTATCTATATTAGTTAACTCTTTATTTAATTATAAAAAAAACAAAGAATTCGATATTTAAAAAATATTAATTTTAATTAATAAAGACTAAATAAACTTAACATCGATTAACACGTATATTTTCGCAATGTTAGTGTTGCTGCAGCAAATGCAATAAATTTTTGTAATTATATTGTATTAATCAAATTATTATATTAAAAAGACATATCGTATGTGTGAAACAGAATGTTCGATATGACATGTCGTTATAACTTTTACGATAATTGCAGGACAAAAGAATATATTAAATATCGCTAAAATTTCAATTAACTTCGCAAAATTAAAAATGTTTATTTATTAAAGTTAATTTATCAAAATTAATTAAAAATTTGTAGGTCTGAAGATTCAGTAGAAATAAATATCAAAGTCAAACACAGTTATAATATTAGTGTACAATATGTATGCAACGTTATACACTTGTACGTCGTATGAATATTCATACATTCATACATGTATAAATATTTGTTCGTGAATATGTGACATATCTTTTGTTTTCATCAAGTCTCTTTATGCTTGAGTGTTTATATTAGACAAGCAAAATAAAAAGAACGTAAATAAGCGTTTATTTGATTATCTAAATAGTTGAAGTCCACTCACATATAAATTCAGTAGTAATAAACAGCATATACGATACATCTTGCTATGCAAAATGTTTCAGAGAAAATAAATATTTTTTTGATTTTATTACATATTTATTTGAAATAGAATTCTTTTCAACTGTTTATTGGAATATTTAAGTTTTCGACATTAAATGCTTTAACAATTAAATTCAAAAATAAATTTCTCTTATAATATCTATGTTAAACTAAACACTAACAATGTTAAACTATTAATTGTATTAAAAACTAAATAAATGAAAAACTATTTGAAAATTTCTGAAGTAGTTTTAAAAAATCAGTTCATGAGAAATTCAGATTTCTTTCTTACAAGAAATAAAGAGCTCAGAAAGAAAGAACAATGACATCGAAAAATGAGACAAAATGATGGTGCTTTTAGCAATATATACGGTCCTAATTTTGCGCATGAGCATAAAATGCACGATGTAAGTCACGCTCTACCCCTGACGTTTCGAATTAATTAGGAAAACTCTGAATTATTCGTCGCGGAATATTGAGAGTGACGTGGTGTTACAGACAAAGTACATTACATTATTTCTCTGATCCTATTCTAATCCTGGGCATCACACAGTTAAACATCATTATTCACAACGAAGTTTCTACCAAAGATCACAGGTAATTAAAAATCAGAAGTTGTGGCATAAAATCATAGCTAATTAAACATTTCCAATAAAGTAAGATATTCGTACATTTTATATTCTTCTTTTCAAAATTATATCTTCCAATTATTTTTCTTTCTTAAAAATTTTATCTCTGTTAATTTAATTATAAATTCTCTTTTAATTTAATTATAAATTAATTTAACTGTACTTATTTTAAAATAGAATTTTAGAACTGAAATTTGAATACAGTTTGTCTAAAATGAAAATACAATACATTCCGACATTAATTTTCAGACATTTCCATGCTAATTGTTTTCTGCATTTACAAGGCCGTCAAGTCTGTCACATCAAGATATAGTAAGTGGCATTATGTACGCGCTACTCGCAGACGATTGATATGAATGTAAAACCTAAACTTGGCTAACTAGCCAGGTCAGTAAGCTTCAGCGGACTCTGAAAACTCGTTAGGAAATGTCCGTCAGGAAATTGTAGCAGGATCAAAGTCGAGTAATCGGGCAGGAGTTGTATGTTCAGTCTCTCGACTCGGAAATGGAAAGGCAGAGATCTGCACGCAATAGACATTCCATATTGTGTATCGCGTGCAAAATTCTAAGCTTTTAATTTTCAACTAAACCCAGTATTTGCATTTCTAAATTCAAGAATTTATTTATAACAAAAAAATCTAAATGTTTAAACAAATTAACCACAGACAGTAAAAAGATTTCTCTTTTCAAAATATAAAAAAAAATCTTAATTGTTATGTAGATATTTATCTAGATATTAATTATTTACTCAAGTTATATTTCATGAAATTTTAATTAGACGTCAGTCTCATTTTTGATCTGTCGATGTTTTAAAAGTTTAATGTCAAACGTGAAAAAAAAAAGTTAAAATTAACAAATCAATTATAAATATCATTTTCACGTTTCGTAGTTTACCAAATAGTTAAACTTGCTAAAGTTTTCAATCGGATTAACTATATGTCAATGTTATTATTAGACTTAATTTTTGCGTGAAAAGATCAACGTGACCGTACATACGGTTAATAATAGAAATAATTAATGGCTACTCTATCATACACAGATTACACCGCTCCACGAAAGCAAATTACACTGGAATGTGTTCTACATGCCGATGAGATTACCGCGCATCCGCTTCGGGATGAAAACCGGACTTAATCAATTCTATATTGTGCGGTCGATCTCATTACGAAACCCGGATAACCCACGCGCCGGGTTTACAAATCCGTTCCTCGTTTGATCGTACAAAGTTTTCGAAAGAATTGTCATATTGTTCTTTATGTTTTGATTAATCCCGAGTCTTCATAACTTCTACTGTGTATTAACAAAAGTCTGCCTAAAGCAATTTTGCCTTGCAAGGTTTACCAGACACAAAGCTCACGATGGAGAAATAACTTGGCTAAAGAAACAAAAAGCGCAAAGTTTATCGGATGCAAAAGTTTATATAAGTAAAAGTCTGTGCTGTAGTGAATTGCCGACTATGTACTCCAATGTTATTTAATCCAGCTATTATCACATTATCCCTTTCGTCCACGTATATCTCCAGATTTAGAAACTTTACCTCTAATGACCTGAAAGTGATGTAAGTAGACTACGTAAGATGCCGCAATAATACTTCATCAAGTATTTTATTACAACGACATCAGTACCGTCAGCTCGTCATATTTTTTACTCTCATGAAAACTTCTACTAACAATTATTGCAGATAATTAGAAATAACTCATAATAAAAAAAAACTTATATGAAAAAAGATAAATTCTAATTCTTATTCTTGTAAACAGTTTTATTCTAGAATTAATTAAAAAATTTTTAAACCTTTACCAACAATTATTATGAACGATTGAAAGATAATCTGTGATAAAATAACTTCCAAGGAAAAAGATAAATATTAATTCTTGTTGTGGGGAAAGAAACTTTATTTTGGAACCTTAGAGAACCTTAATTTTAAAAAATCTCTTAAGCTTTAAATCTTAATCAATTTTTTTTTTTAAAGTTGTTTACGAATTAAGCTTATAGTTGTCATAATTAAATAAAAAATTTTATTTGCTTCTTAAATTAAAAAATTTTATATGCTGGAATTTATATTATCACAATTACAAATTTTGCAATTTATTTCGCAAAAGACGTTTAATATTTAAATATTTTAATGATAAAGTTACAAAAACAAATTCTCCAAAATTGTGAAATTCCAAGATAATATGTATATGTCACATTAATATAAAACCTGCAATCATGCAGAGATATTCAGTGTTTTATAACTACGGCGTGAATACGCTCACCGGGAATCGCGATGCGCAAAAGAATTCCCGTTGCAATCTCATTTAAAAGTTTAAAGTCACCCGGTATTCGCGTTTTACCATCATAGAACTCGAGAGATATCTCTTTTATTTCCCTACAGAATCAAGTTGAAAGAAAAAGCACCTCAATATTGGAAATGTCGTCGAAGAGGATCTCTTAACAGTTAATGGGACACCTCGTACATTAACGCTATACTCATATTTACTCGTCATTTTCTTTCTATTAAAATGTAATTCACTTTCCCCGACTTTTGTTCGGGATTCCGTTTAATTCGCTACGTCCGTCTTTGCGATTCACGACACTGCCGTTTGATGGGCACACAGCATTATCGAGATCGATTGATAGGCCTTCCGTTATTTGCCAGCCAGACTTCGATTATCCGCCAAGTGTCACTTCAATCAGCCAATTCTGTCAGTTGGCAAGCAATAGAGCAATTATCGTATACACGTAATCGCCGGTTATTGTTATCTATCATTTCTCATTGAGTCCGAATACAATGTAAAATATATTGCTACAAGGTACGATTATGTGTAATATTAATATTATTTTACGATATTGTCACTATATTTATGATTTTAACTAAATTGCTTTTTACTAAAGTACACTGTTAGTACGCACTAACTTGACTATATATGCAAATTTACACGTTTTCCTCCCAGATTTATGGCGCCATTCCAATCCATGCGATTAAACTTTTGTTTCGAAATAATAGTTTCGGAATAATAATTCTTCTTTTTGTCGTCTCTTTCTTTCGCATATCCTTTCTTACTATTCTTGAATTTTACATTTAAGCCCTCGTAAGACCTAAGCTTAAATGCGTCATTGAAAAGCGCATAACGTTGTTGTGGACAGGATAAAACCAGTTTTCTTGGCAATTCTACTTCAACTTTTTATGACTGCCACTTCGCCAATTTTAATTCAACATAAATTTCAGTGTGACAATTATATGCAAATAAGATGCAGAACATGCGAAGATGTATTCTGGAAAAACATTTTCTCACTTTTCTTTTCTCCAAGAGTCGTTAAATGTGCAAATCATACGTGAATCTTTTATTTTTAATTTTATTTACAGTACGTATAAAAAGAAGATAATCGGCATTTCTCTTATTAAATTTATTTCAATAAATCTAAAAACACATTACACATAAAAATGTGATATAAGACCATGTCAGTAAATCATCCAGTCACCATCGTGATCAATAATAGTCTGGTATCTCTGTACTATAATAGATAACATACCATGGAGATGCCAGACTATTATTGAGAACACGATGGTAACTGGACGACTTACTGGTGTGACTGCATATTAGATTTCTATCTATAGAATATGTGTAATTTTTTTAGATTTATGAAATAAATTTAGATTTTTGAAATAAATTTAATTAAAACAATATTAGTTTCTTCTACATATATTGTATGATATATCGTTTTGTCTCTGAAAAATACCGTCGTTACTGTTTTGAGCAAGCACACACGCTCAATAACGGATTTAATCTTTATTACGAATTTATCGATTGAAGACTTTTGCGCGAATACTTACATTGACAATAAATATATCTGATTGTGTGATGCTTGCTCCTCAAAGATGACAGGTGAGAAAGCTGCCATGAACGTTGCGTCGTGACGCCACGCGTCGCGGCGTCGGCGGGGCAGCCGCGTCACGTGACGACGGAAATCGGCGTGAAACTCGGAGCAGCGCGCGGCCGGCGCGGCGTCGTCAGTCAACCTCAGTCGTCGCGCGGCATCCGTGTGAGACGTATCGTGCTCATTTTATATAGCAAAGTTGAACTCGAACCGGTCGACGAACTTTTGAAAGCTCCGCCTGTGCTCGTATGTCGAGACAGAAGTCAAAGTTTCGATGACTTTGCCGGTCCTTCAAGGATCATTACGCGAGCAATTAATCAGAATACAATTCGCTTCTCTCAAATTGTGCATTTAATTATAGTGCATCGCAAATGTTTCCATCCGCGACGAATAATTGACTTTCGACAACAAATAGTTCCGATTTTCGCGAATTCTCCCGAAGGAGAATTTACCTTCCGCGAAGGGTCGACCGAGATGATCGCCGGATTTGTCAGATGCAGAAATTCGTTTGAAATAAACTATTTAACAACGTAATTAATCACGAAGTCAGCTTTAATCAGTCACGGATCGAGGCAAGTGGAAGAAGGAAAAGACGAATCGCCAAAGTAGAGTAAGATGTTCTTGGGTCAGCCGTAATCTTTCGATTGACCGATCGACAATCCGCGCGTTTAGGACGATAATCGGTGTACGAACGGCACGCACCTCCGTGACTGCACGCATTAAGGGCATTAAGGGAACGCGCGTAGCATTAAGATCAAGCATCGAGAACACTTCGTGAGAAGAGCAATCGCGCACGCTGATAATCGGAATCGATCTCGTGCCGATTAAATTCAAATTCGGACCAAAGGGAATATCGGGACGGAATCAAGTGGCTGCATCGAATCCCACAAGTTTCAAATTACGCATGATATAATCCTGAAAAATAAGATAAAAATAATGCAGAAGAAGAAATCAACGAAAAATTGTAGAAAAATACGCTGTTTCAGAAATAAAAAGAAATGCTGAGCGTTTTAACGACCTGCTATCGCTCTCGCACAAATTAAAACCTTGAGATACAAACGGAATATCAAATAACGTAAATTTCGGACTAAACAAGATTTGAGAAAAAGGTTAAAAAAACCTTTGCAAAAATGAAACGATCTCGAGCAGCTGTACCTTTGGAGTTAAAATTTCCGAGTAAAAATTAGACATTATTTAATTTCAACGAAAAATAAAAATAAAAACTAAAATCCCGAGAATAGCAAATAATTTCGAGCGTCTCTGGACGATGTAATACCGTCTTCGTTCGAACTTATAAATGTGAAATCATTGTATTTCCTCTGCATGCAATATTTCGCAAAATTCTCGAGTTATCTCTTCTACGTTTGAGAAACTTGTAATAACAATTCTCGTGGAACAAAGAAACTTCGTGTATAAGAGGAACATCTTTTCTTTCCGATTACACATCTGCCGCTCTCGCGAGGCTCGCGGCTAAGGAAAATAATAAAAGCAAGAATAATAAATGAAAAGATATAACATTTAATCCCCAACGGGTTGATTAACGGAAGAAAACCATTCTAGAAAGGAATAATCCTTTTTCCGATATCGCATTAGCGCCGAATCTGCTGACGCGCGATGAAGCGTGGAAGTCACTTCGTTGGGATCACCATCTGGATAATCTCGAACTAACTGCGATCTTCCAGCGGCGGTATGACTGACGACAAGCGTTGAGTTCGCGGCACCGTTTTGCAAAGCGCAGTTTGATAACGCGACTCGCCAAACTTAAATGTCAGTCCGACGCGTTCCGGTGCATCGTCGTTGCACTCCGAAGATTTCTATATACACCAAAACGCTTACCATAGCGCTCAAATGCAGTGATCGAGAGATAAAGACAACTATCGCGCATCATTTCAAGAGATTTTGCTGTGCCATCCGCTGTTGTGCTTGAAAAGGGTCGAAGCGTGTCGTGAAAACCGATTCGTCAAGCAATAATCGGGGGATGTTGCTGAGAAAAATCTGAAGAGATAGAGAAAGAGCGAAAGAGAGAAGTCAATAACGATGGGAGACGCGTTGAGATGCTGCATAATGTGAAGTGAGTACATTTTCAACTATTATACCGAAATTATTAAAATAGGGAATAGCAAAATTCTCTCTGCAAAAATTCTCTCAAATATGTGATTAAAAAGAAAACAATATAAACATGTAGAAAACAAATATTATACGTATAGAATTTCAAAAGCAATTTTTATTTAACAAAGTTTTGACTTGATAATTTTATTTCACTTTTTTCAGAGCTTAATTCTTTCACACAATTCTACGATATTAACAGTTCAATAACTTGTGATAAGAAACAGAAAGAGAAATTTGTTATCGCGGATATTATTAAATCTCTCATTATAAAGTACTTACGCGATAATTTCAATTATTTTTATCCGCCAATCCTGCAAGTTGGCGTTTGTCACTTTGCTGGGAACGCAAAGACGCGCGAAGGCACCGTATTGAATTCCATTAAAGTTTCCATTACTTCAAAACTTACGGCGAGAATGAAAACTGCGTCTCATCCCGGGGATAAACTAGGCAGTCTGTGTCCACATTATAAAGTATGTATTTAATACCTGCAATATTCATCTCGCTCTCTATAATGCGAAAACATATCGGATCGAAAGTGTCAAAGGAAATTACAAAAGTATTGTTGAAAATGCATTCAATTAAAAAATAATTGAAAAACTGTATTGACAATTCTATCGTGTGCTAATCGACGCGTGAAATTGCAGATTATTCTACGATTGTACCACTTTGGATTTACTCGATCGTTTGAGTGTGCAGTAATTCCAATATTTGTAACGCTTTTACATTTTTTTTTGTTTAAACAAGATTGATAATACATACTTTGTTTTCTGCATCAAATTAACGTTAATCGAGAAAATTTACAAAAGAATGACAGTGACAAACGTGTCAAGATCGAATGCGAGGCGAAGTACGGACGCATGAATTTTACCATCAATTAGTGTACCGGACTCGCTAATCGCATCTGCGAAGACACACGAAAGCCATGAACATACAGTGACGAACAGCGAGAGTAAAGTGATCTCACTGATAGTTTCACAAAGAAACAATTTATCTCACGATACCGGCCTGTTTATCCTATCTACAATAGCAGGTGTCTGTAATTGCTTCTTTTGGCTTGAGAGACTAAACGAAAAAAAGTAACAAATATTTTCTGAAGCAAACAGATTATTTTAAATTCCGATGTAAACTTATAATTAAAATCGTAATATTTATCATTTAGATTCTGCATCAATTTTTTCTTTTATTGAACGTTTTATATTTGCAATATTGTATTAAATGTTTAAAATTAAATTTATATTTATTGTCAGAATATTTCATTAAAATACAATAAAATTTCATATACGTGTCAGTTTTCTACTATTACAATTCTGTCTTCCAAAATTTCTTTTAATGAAGAATGATTTTTAATCAACTTATCGTATCGTTAATCGCGGAAATAACTCCAGAATAAAATGCATGTTCCACCAAATTAAATAAATAATTCCCCGTTGTTAGTACATCTAACCCTAATTATTACATTGTTCCATTTCTCGACGAACTTATTAGGTCTCTTTGCAAAAATTCAATTTCCTCTGGTGAGCAAATCGAGTTTTGTATATAGAGTCGCGCAACACAGGAAACGAAATATCAGACAATGTTAGCAATCGAAAGTTTTCACAAAACGCGAAATTCGACGCCGAAAGCCCGCAGTGGTCGTGTCGGAAGTAGTCCTCACGCGCCGCTAACTTCCGTCTGTCGTGTGTATATTGTGTCGGTCCTGTCGCCGAGCGTCACTTCTTCGAGGCGGAATATCGAGTTGGGACTTGTCGCGCGAAACTGAAGTCTCTCGAGCCAATTGCGGCTCGACATAGTGGCGCAGCTGACATGGCATAGTTACGTGTGCTTTGAAATGCACTAAAACGAAATTGCATTATAGATTCGACGCAGTTATATGTAATTCCAGTTAGATTAAAAGTGAGGCAATTCAGGGATATTAATTTTTGAGATGACACTATTATTTCAACATGATTATTCATTACAGCGCGAGCGGTGTTAAATTCCCACATCTATATATCAAACCGAAACGGATGGAATTTTCGAAGCAAGGCAATTTTCTATTTCAACATTGAATATTTATAAGCAGCCTCGACTTTACGTCGGGCATGTGTTTTCGCTCGGTTACGCGCGATGCGAACTGCGGGCGCGTAATTAATTAATATTAATTATAACACCGATATCACCGGAAGTTTATTCGAATATTCTGACGCGGCGGTCGCGCGATACCAGCTACACTGTTTCGCCGTTTGTACCTTCGTCCGAGGGATTACATTATCGCTAACCAAATTCCGGCGTACGAGAGCACACAATTCGAAGTGGAGCTCGGGATTGAGTGCGGAACTCCATCTTGGTCATTTTCGCCTTCTACTACTGCCACGTGCTTGCGCGCGAGTGATTTAATGCACCGTTTCGTTGCTCCCACCCATATCTACTCAGCTTCCTCCACGCGATATTTGTTCTCGTAACATTTTCGCATTGAATTCATTTAACTCGCACACGAGATCCCCGTGACAGCGGTAACATCGTTACTCCCTGTTTTGCGTTCCCCGATTGCTACCGTACCATTGGTAACCGACTTTTGCGTGAAAATGCAGTTTTGATCACCGTCCATAATTAAATCAACGCTGGTTTGTTATTACAGACGCGCTGAGCGCGCAAGTTGTAAGATAATAATATAGATGGTGTAGAAGTTCTCTCTCTCTCTCTCTCTTGCCAATATAATTCACTGACGTTTGCAACTATATTATTATTACATAAACTATGCGCTATTATTATCTTGTACAGCATATACAATATAAATTTTATTGAAGTTTATTATTAATTTACGTCTTTCTCTGGAGATAATAATAACTTTGTTCACGTGTAATTATTATAATAAATATGGGAAGTCATCTTTGCAACTATTCCACGTAATCGAGCATTGATTGATGGTACACCATATAAAAGCCACGCACGTGCCTGAAAGGTTGAAATTGATTATTATGTTTCCGACAAACTATGTCTTACATAATATGATAGTCAATAATCTAATTAAGTTTTAACAGGAGAAAATATGGATACCATGCTGTTAAAATTATATATAAGTGTAACATATTAATATAATAATATATAATTAAGTAAAAATATAATGTAGGTAGTATATAAAATAAAATATAATCGTTAACCGAAATTTAATTCAAGATTCAATCTGTCCTTCAATTCTGTCATTAACTGTAATTTTATCTCACACATTCTAATTAATACATTTTGCTTGCGTAATTATAATTAAAATGTTATAAATCATGAAAAAATTATACATACAAAAACTAAATGTGATCAATAAGTAAATTTAATGTATAAAGAAGTTTTATATTTGCTTTGATAAATTTTCACGATCTAAGTGTCACTTCTGTCAGTAAACTCTCATTCTTTGGCAGAATAATAATTCATCATAAATTATGTAATAATGTATTATGCTTCGTATCGGCTTTTTAATCACTGTCGAACATACTTTTCTGATTATAATGCAAGTGTCGATATCGCGTTATAACGTAATTTTTTCCGATAACACCGTCCCCATGGATTCGTCAGTAGTATAGTCAGGTCTTGATCGGACAAGGCTACACGCAGCGATCATGAGGGTACCTGCACTCATAATCGTACGACGTGGCGCGTCATTAAGAGACTGTGACTTGCATAAACGCGGTGCTAAGAGGAAAGGAACATTACGTCAAATCGAATCGCGCTTACGATTCATCAAAGTGAAGGAGACGTCTTAATAACACGGGACGTTTGATATAATCGGCAAATTCAAATGCAAGTAAGCTCTTAAGCATCGAGAAATGTGGACTATTTGACATTATAATACCAAACCAATATACATATCGCAATAGAATGGCAAAATAAGATTAGTAATATCGACTATTGGCAAATCGGTGTTGAACAAATTTTCACGGAGCAAGCAATTGTTAAAATATCTCTTTCTTTTTTTTCACAACTGCGTCAGTTTTTGTTTTGTTTCAAAAGAAAAATAAAACGCGTGTTCCAATTTTCCCTATAAAGCGCGATTTTTCACTCGACACTCGACACTATCCCCAACGAATGGCACTTGATACACAAATTCTGAAATGGTCATACTAATATATAGTATTTCAGTAAAAAAAGAAAAAAAATCGCGTGAGAAATAATACCGGTATAACAAATAGAATGACAAATCGATTGTTTTGTTTTATAGAATAGTGAATTACTGTTCGAATGCTCTAATATTTCAATAAAACAAATACACGAGGCCATTTAATTCAATAATTTAATTGAATAACAATAAATGGCAAATTATTTCTCATTGCTTTAACGGAGTAATGTGCGTCAACACAAGTTATAACATTCTATTGGCAGATTGCAATTTTCTTGATTTTATTGCGTGATGATGTGTAAAAATAGCACCAATTCCATCGGATTACATGTCTGTAACGAGGGAAAATCGTGAACCACCGCAAACGTTAATTAATCGTTGTTCTGCTCGCTCCATTGAATTTTGCAATGAAATAACAGGCGCAAATGTTGCAACCGATATAATTAATATCGTTATCTCCATCGTAGGGTATCGCCGCAATGTGCCTAGCGCTATGTTAATTGCACGATGCGCTCAGATTACGCGCCGCGAGGTAAAGATATTTTTGCGATGTAAGCGCCATCGGCGATTTCCTCGAAATTTCGTTCGATAAATTTGCATAACACATTATAGTGCATTCTACTGTTACTAAACGGGGCGTAAAACGTTAGCGTTAAGTAACCCCGCGATCGAAAACGCGATAACGGCTTGAAGCTGGCTCGTTAATCTTCCTTAGAACGGACAACCTTATCTCGCGCATCAACTTCCGCGTTTAAAGAATAGTCACGTCTACCTAAACAAGGAAGAGAAGCATATTCGCGCTTTTTGACAGCCCTTGAGATTTTACACACAGATACTAACGGCCACATTTGCACTGATTTCGGACCGAAACACTA